CAAAGACACCCATTTAGTCTTTTTGTTACATCATACAATAGCGATGCCCTAGCAGCGTCCTTGCTCCTAGTAGTAAGGCCAGGAGCCCCTAGTGGCGCCCTTGTTCCTAGCAGCGATGCGCTTTGCTCCTAGTAGCGTCCTCTACCCCCCATTTAAACAAATCATACAAGTCATTAGCTCTTGCCAGTGTTGCCCCGCAAACTTGAGCTTGCCTAAAAAGACGCTAGAATTGACAGAGGTGCATTGATTGAGCTCCAAACCTGACTCCTTGAGAGATGCTGGTGTAGTCAACATTTCGTTGACTTCGCTGGAGAATGGTTTCTTCTGTTCGGGATCCGATGAACTCCAACCAATGCAATCCTTTTGCGAGCAACCGAGCAAACTCCCATGTGTGCAACCATGCGTGCGAACATGCCGACGCAAGTGACAGACACGAGGATCGTGAGCTGGCGGCAGCATTTCTGGAGCATCTTGGCGGCATTCCTGGGCTCCAAGGAGCGTTGACATCCAAAGACCTATGGTTAAGGATGGCCCAAACAAGAACGAAGATATCATGTCCAGACAGCGTATCTATACAGCATTATACAGCATAACTGGCGAGTGTAAACTCCGGGATTTTCTTCCAACTGGCGAGTAGTACCTGATTGTAAATCGAGCGTCGGACCCTTGGACAGCCTCACCAGAATCAGATATTTCTTACATTCCACTCTGCTCACAGTTTGGGTTTATGTTCAGACCTGGACCATCTCCTTCCCTCAGCTGGAAAATGCTATGCCAATCAGAACTTAAACTTGTTTGAGAGTCTCGCATGGCATTCCCTCACCTGGCTGGCAACTTAGAGTTGGAGCTTCCGCCGTTGGATTCTTTCTCCGCCCCCCAAAAATCGTTCGAGGTATTTGGGCAGTGAGGAGGTCTGGGGCGAAGACCGCCTCATGGAAGAGTTCCTCCACTGCTCTCAGCTCTTGGAGGCCGGTTCCTCCGTGGGTTGGAAACCACGCCGTTCTCCGGTTGGGGGGCAAGAGATGTATCTAGATATAATGGGGGATGTTGTAGGGCTTGCATAATCATTCATATCATCAATTCATAACATCTCATAACATTTCTTAATAACATCATGTAATTTCATCACATCATATCACGTCATTCATGTTCATCATATCTCATCATCAAAACCATCAACATCAAAGCATTTGTTTAATCCTAGAATTGGTTTATGTCTAAAATAAATCTGTTTAAACAGTGTTTAGTTTCGTTCATGGCATAATACCATTCCAATAAACAGCTTTTATAGCATCATAAATGATCATCTTTTTTTTGAACTTAAAATATCAAATCCAATTTAGAACTGAAGCAATCTTCAGCAAACCAGAGCATTTTGATGGCGACATTGCCATTCACCAGATTTAACATTCACAATGAGAACGACCTCAACCAAGCAATTGAAGACAGCGTAAAGCAATTCCTTTTCCAAATTAAGAAACTTGAAGCAACTAAATCAACCCTGAAGTTTAAACAAGTTGTGTCAACAACCATTCATCACGAAACACATTGACCCAACAAGAGCAGGTGGATACATTGATTCGCCCAGATTTATTAAGCTGATAAAAAGTGTGCGTCAATATCAATAATGAAGACAGCATGTGTTTAGAATATTGTGTCCAATCTATAGTCCAGGAATTTCCAGGATAAGATTAATCAACACCATTCTGAAGCAAAGTTCCATTAACAAAAGTTGGATGATTTATCAAGTGGGATGGCATCAACTTTCCTGCAGGTAATAGAGACATTGACAGACTGAAAGCAAACAACAACGATTGAATCTCAATCAATATTTGTGAACCTGATGGTCTCTTGAATGAGGAAAAAGTGATTACAACAGGAGCAACAAAAGTTCAACATGCAAAATATCACTTGATTTACTCAAGATTTATATATGATGAACAATCTGGATACCATTGTGTCATTAAAAAAAACAATCAACCACCAGATTGTTAAGTCTAAGTAATCAAGCGAAGAAAGCAAAAACACCTAGCAGTACTTTTGTAGGTACTGCTGTCATCTATTCACCACTGAAGAAGGTTTGAACAAACAAACCATTCCAACGGTTTGTAAATCTTTAAATGTCAAAATTTCAATTTACCTGATAAGAGTTCATGCATTGAATTTCAATCATTCAGTACCTAATGTCAATTTACGGTGATGTTTCATGTTTAACAGTCAGTCAGTTCAAAGTATTAAGGGCAAATATCAGGAGTACAAACCTTGTGGTTGTAATATGATTAATGTTGTTCATGGGATTGACAAAACATCTCAACCATACCATATCTTTAGAGGTGAGGATTGCAGGGAAATGTTTGTTCAACACTTGGCTGCAATGAAAAGGACACGTTTGACAAAATGAATGTAAACAGACCAATGGATATCTCCTATGCACAAGACATGGAGTTTAAAGAAGCAACACAGTGTTCAATTTGCAGTATATAAGAACTTCAAACCTGCGGACGAACAAGTTAGATACCACTGCCACTTCACTGGTAAATACAGATGAATGGCACAGTTTAATGTAATCTAGACTGTTCATTGATTCTTATTCAAAATCCCTACTTCCTATATGACATAATCTTAAAGACTATGATGGTCATTTTATTATCAAAAGGGCAACTGAAATCAAAAAAGATTTGAATGAACATAATAAGCAGATAGATGTTATCATTCAAAACAGTGAGAATTTCATGACCTTTTTATTTGGTTCATTGCAGTGCAAAGGCAGTTTTTCATTCTTGCCAGCATCACTGGATAAGTCAAGTTAAACAGCTAGTCAAACAGCTAAAATCTGCTCAAGCAGGCACTTTACTTTTTGTCGGCGAGACAACTGCAGAGACATTGCCTCCTGTCACATGCGGGATGATTGTGGGGCTTTCTTAATACTGCAGGAAACAAAACGTCCGGTGCAGATCGAGCTCAAAGGTCCACAGAAACTCGTGCCATGTCATGGCTATGGAAAAAAACTCGTTGTCCAAACTACAAAGATTCTCATGTTCATCATCGTGCTGAGATTGCGGAGCGGTCTTTCTTCCAACCAAAGCCTGCTCTGGGTGTCCCTGTCCTCATCGTCCGCAGCGGTGGGTGCCACCCGCCGCAGGTCCTGTGCCGCGTCAGGAGCGCTCGGATGGATCGAGTTCGGTTTCAAAAGCGTTTGGAGAAGGTGCCCATGGATCCATATACAACTTGAGAAGATGATTGGAGACACTTATGGAGGTATGTGGATCATGGTGGATCTGCAAATGTTTCCCTTGAACACCCAGTGACCGAGCAATACGATTTCATTTCTTTGGCCTGGTTCCAGTCTCTTTGACCTGGTCCAACTCCAAAACGAGAAATATTTGCATTGATGATGCTGCAACTGGAGGAATTTGTTAAGTGAGGACACTCTGATATCAACCTACAGGGCTGTTGAGGTTGAACCATGTTGAATCATGTCGAACCTCCAGTAGCAAGCCATTGGCTGAAATGCCACCCCCGACTGCAATGCTCTCATCGCCACTCATAGCCACTCAAAGCATCTTGCCTCTCATCAAGCCTTAACGAATCAGGCTGCCCAAGATTCGATTCAAGTTCCTCCAACCGCCCAAAAAGTTCAACACACCTTGCAGTTCTCAGCATCCAACAGTTCTCAACTGTTTCGAAGATGTCATAGGACTTTCATCGACCCAACGGTGCCCCTCCGGTGCCGGTTCGCTTCCAAAACGCTTGGCGTGTCGTTGCGGCGGCTTCGCCGCCTCAGCTGAGGTGCCCAGCTGCCGGACGTTGCTCAGGTGCCGAAATTGACCCTCCGGCCGCCGGCCTGGTATCACATGAAAGGGCCATGGCACGGTCCGCCATCGGCCCGTGATTGGAAGAGTATAAACGTTCCTTGAACATGTTACAAACAGTGGGGGTTGGAAGCGGGGTTGCCACTTCCAGGTGATGTGTTCGTCATACTTCCTTTCGTTTTCCACGGAGTGCGCTGTTGGGTCGAATGAAAAGAATCCTCATGAAACAAGTACGTAGCAGCAGTGACCAGCCAGTGAAGAAACGCGCATCAAGTTGCTCGGCCAGGCTGCTGATCCCGCCACAAAATACCGCCTACAGTTTAGCTCAAAAGCCTCTGGCAAGGATATGCAAGGATGACAAGAGCTTCGTGAAGTGCTTAACATGTTGCTTCGGGAGGAGAACAACTTTATATAGGTGTTTAGACCTCTCAAGCTGGGTTTATTTTTTCCATGAAAAAGCCTTCGTTCCCTCGCTCAAGCTGGGCGTTGCGTGTACGCTGCCGCTCGTCCCACACCTTCGTTTGGCTCTTGAGTCGGGCGTGCACGGGGCTCTATCACTCTTCCACACTGGCCTTTAGACTCCTACAGTCACTACATCTCACTACATTTCCCTGAGGATGATGGAGATGGAATTCTTGTGATCCTTGTTCATACTTTGCTCTACTTTGCTTATCAACTCAGCTGAAAGATGTGTAGCTCTGTTTGGATGACAATCCCACAAGAGTGGACATAGAAAAAGATAGAAACATAGTGGCAGTATATATATATATAATATAATATATTATATCCTTAAACTCCTAAACAGCTACACCAGGCACCTCCTTCCTTGTGCTTGCTTGGAAAAAGAAAGTCGCTTCAGTTGGCACCTCTGATGTTTAGAATCTTCAACCAAACTGTTGACGTGAGTCGATCGACATCGCGACACCCGTACCGGTGTCCGCACCACGGTGCCATGCTCTCTAGTCGGGGTAAAGGTGCGCAGGGAGTTCCGGTGGGGGGGGCGGAGGTGCTGCGAAGATTTTGGAAGACTTACACCTGGAACAGGGCAAGATACCCCCCCAAGCCATCCGGAAAACATCCTTTGTTTGGCGCGTTGGGAGGTTCAATTGTATGGTTCCGCTAAATTCTACAAGTCGGTAAAACATATATATTATATATATATATATTGTTGAGAACTTTCACTGCTTCATGAGTCTTTGTGGGGGACTGGTGAGGAACGCCTCGTGGGTTGCTATCCAAGTTCAGGAGCTTGTTCATTGCTGGGTTGTTTTTCATGCATGCACCATGGAAAGTGGAGGCAAGCTGGATGACCTTGCCCAGTTTCAAAAAAGCTGGGTCCCAGCTGGGTGGGTGGGTGGACGGACGGCGCCGGGGCATCGGAACACAGCCGTGTGAATGTTCCTACCACATGTGGATGAAATGTTGGTCTGGGGGGAGGGCGCCCGGAGCGGAGCCTTTTTTGCGTGAAAACTGAGCGCCATAACCCCACACCATGTTGGGTTGGCCATTCAAAAGTGATCCAATATTCTATGGAGGCTTGGGATATCTTGGGGTGAGTTTAAACGCTGAATGGACTGATAGCCAAAGGGAAGGAGTTCCTCAAGTGGTGCTCCCAGTGTCGACGGCGCCAGACCAATCTGGATGGACCCTGGGTGTGAAAAAACCTCACGGAATCCATGGCTGAACTGATCAGCTCGGATGTGGTGAGGCCCTCGATCGGTCGGTCCGGTCGGTCGGAACCGAAGCAACTCGGCCCGACGGTCCGGACTCGTTGGACGCAGGAAGCAAGGAGCCGGGCGAGACTTCGGCAGCTCGGAAGCGCCAAGGTTAGTGGGTAGTAGACTTGGTGCTTCCCGGCCACAGTTGATGTGGCTGGTTGAGAACTATAAGGGATATCTCTCAGTGATCTATTTCTTTGTTTCTACCTTGACCTGGATGATTCGTAGACTATTGCAGACTTGTGTTTTCGTAGACTGTGGACAACCGATGTAAACCGCTTCAACCGATCGCTTCGGACCCGTCGGACCCGTCGGACGCGTCGGACGGCCCAGGCACGGAGTCGACTCTTGGAGTCCAGAGCAGACGCCAAGGGTCAATACCGTGTCATCTCGGACGTCGAGTTGGCGGGCGAGGCCAAGGAGACACCTTACGTATATGGCAAACCTGTGTGCTATTGTGTTGTTGGTTCGTTTTTTTTTTTTCTCCATGTGTTTTGACCTGTTTTTGCTGGAACTGGTCCGCATCTTGAGGGCATGTGGCATTCCGTCCGTACATCTATTCTCTATCAAGTGTTTGTTTTTATGCTATTTAGTCGTGTTTGTGGCTCGGAGTGGCAAACGACGTCACAGAGTCAGGAAGTGCATGGCAGTAGTAGAGGCCTTTCCTAATATTTTATTGTTATTTTTCATCTCACCCACTATTATTTACACTTGAGGGCAGGATTCAAGTGATTCAATGGGTACCCAACATTTGTCTCCAGATAAAGACACAACTTCTTATATCGTCGTCCATCGTCCCATCCTTTCCTGGCGGTGACCTGCCAGGAGGCAGGTGCACCCCAGTCACCAGAAGAGTTCTATGACGAGATCTTGCACAGTGTGGGCTTCAATGTGCGGAGACTCATGGACTCGTCAGAAAACATCGGAAACATAAGATGAATGGCCTCGGGATCCTAGCCCACAGGAAGATAGTAGTATATAGTTAGATGTATAGCCCTGGCACCCCTCCCACTGAACCAGAGGATGTGGGCCAGTACATCTAGAGTGTCGAGGTATGTCGGGGTGCTGTAATAGAGCGGTTGAGTTGCCATGAATCTCCAAAGGTACGAATTCCATCGAATTCCGTCAGCGGCCAGCGTTTGAGGTGTTTGAGGTTTGTGCACATTGAGAGAGTATAGGAAAGTGGAACTATAATATATAGTAAGGAGACAAAGCATCATTCTATTACTCCAGGATAGTACTCCTTTTATCAGACGTTCGACACGGTCCAGCTCGACACGGTCCAGCTCGACGCTCAACACGGAACTGGCCCGTCTCAGCTCTTCATCAGCGGTTTGATTGTGGCGAACGCCGTCGTCATCGGCATGGAAACCGACAACAAAGATGATGAGCTTTGGTCGGTCACTGGGCCCAGAAGGAGTCACACACCTGTGATGTGTGGCAGGCTCTTAGTCCAAGCTTCCATGTACATGACGGTGTTGATTGCCGGCTTGGGAGAGGTTTGGAGACCATGATCAAGTCCGGAGACAGTGAGACCCCAGTTCCACGATCGAAAGGGTCCCTATAGGGTTTCAGACAATCCTCACTTGTTCTAGAATACAGCTGCCTTGTACCATCTTATAACCTTGTCTCCCATAGAAGGCCTTGTACATTGAGTTGGTTGAGTTTGAAAGATGATAACCACGGATGGGAGGGTTGGAGGACTGGCATGGATGGAGGATTGTCAGATTTCCCATTCGGAGCGAAGAGCGAACTGTCAGGGAGCCCATGAGATCAGATGGCAGAAAGAACGCCACACACTTGGTCCAGAGGCAGAGACGTTTGTTCATATTCCTAGGGATCCAAAGACCTTCTCAGAAGGTACGTTGGCACCTACATATTTCAGTGTCGAACACAAGGTGGCAGTGGATCCATAAAGTATGAACCTTCCACAAATCAAGGGGCCACATTTAGACGATCGCCATGCAGATCAGTGACCCAGATACCGAGTGAAGCAAATCTGCTTGACCAACCCATCAGCCCCCGCCCTTTCGTATGTTCCCTGATGTTCCCGCTCTTGGTATGCCACTCGCGAGTATGTCAGAAACAATGTGAGGAACATGGACAATATTCATCAAACTTACATGTCACGAAAAATTACACGTTCCACTACTTTTAGTGGGCAGCAGTCATAGCTATGACTCACTAGCCATGACCATCCATGACCTGACGCTGAGATTTTGGAATTTGTCTTCTTGGGCATCTTCACCGTGGAGCTGATCCTTCGCCTGATCGTTTCAGGGCCCAAGAAGTTCTTCAGCTACACGACCGAAGACTTCAGCTGGACCGGAGCCGAGCGGAGCAGAGCCAAACGGAGCAGATGAAACACTGGGCCCACGCGTCTCTTTTGGTCAAGTGTCTTTTGGTGCCCATCTAGACCCAAATTGGATCCGACAAAGTCTTCTGTGTTAAGTGTTTCTTTACCAAGTCGTCTTTGCTTTAAACACGAGTTGTCAATATGGCGTTAGATATTTGGGGGATCTCGATGTGGGTCTCTTCTCGATGTGGGTCTCTTCACACTCTGAAGGCAAGATTCATCGCTTGCATGCACTGGGATCGACCGTTTTGGGAATTTGTGGATATTGGTGGTTGTTTTGGCAACCTGGTATGTGTTTGCTGCACAGCCCCCACAAACAAAAGCTTTTGAAAGCTCTGGGAGTAGCCAACCAACGAGGGCCAATCTGGCTTCAGATGTGTTTCCGAGCGTGTTCGCAGATGCTGCTATGGGATGATAGATCAGTCCGAACATCGCGAACTGGTCACATTCTGTGTTAAGGTGTGTTTTCGGACATTTGCATGTTGCCTGTCTTGAGTCTCAACATGTCTGAAGAGAAACAAACCGGATCATCTAACCTGGTGAACGTACGACCTATAACTGAGTGCTGAGTAGGGACTGAGTGGCCGCTGGTTCCGATATGGATCGGACCGAGTTTCGACACGCCACCAGTGAGAACTCCTTTCAGTCGGGCCGTTTGAACAAGAATGTCAAGCATATAGGGTATTAAACCATATAGGGAGACCTCCCAGGCGTTCCGCCTGGAAGGTTCCGGCCATGGTGACCAGTCGACCCAGCCGGCTTGTGGGCGCCTCGAAACCCGCGCGAGTGCGAGGAACCTCTTCGACTTCTGTGTTGTCTTTGCCGGTTGCTTGGACGTGATGTCCAACATGTCACCCGTTCGACACGAGAAGGCGCCGCGGGAAGCTGGAAGCTGGAAGGAACCGGGTGCGTTCCGTGGCCGGGTTTGGGGGAAGATGTCTGAACAGCTTGAAGGACTTCATTTGTGGGAATGGGATGTCATATGGTTAGTTGAGTCCTGCAGGTTTTTGTTTTAATAACCCTCTTGAGGTTGGACCAAGCTAGCGATTTTCACCCATGCAGTGGACTCAGTGGATGCAGTACGTAAATTAGCTCTGCAAAACTGAAGGAGTGAGTCAGAGGGTGCAAGCTACCGAGCCTTGGACAGCTTTAGCCACTTCCAAAAGGTGAGTATACACTCCTTGTTCAAGAACTCTGTTTCTTTTTTGTGAAGTCATTTCACTGGAAGCTTCCAGTGATGCCGACCAAGCCAGCCACACATTTTGCACTTTAAGTTTTCTGTACAATCTGAGCTCCTTTTGGACATGATCTAAGAACCGCAGCGGAAGTGTCCGACGCAGCTCGGCCGACTAGCCCACCCACCTGCCACACCCAATTTCAACCAAATCCTCCTGCACCACGACTTCCTGCGCAGGGTAGCTTCATGACCTTCCTGCGCATCGTGCGGCTTCTTCGCGTGATGCGGATGATCCGCCTCTTGCGCTTCCTTCGGGCCGCCCGGAGGGCAGTCCGCGACGTTCGGGGTTCCGCCGAGTTCCGCGACACGCCACGTTCGAGAATGGGGGGTGTTCAGCTTTGTCCTGGGGTTTGGCCATTCTGTTTCAGAAGTGGAAGGCAAAGGAAGGGCAGTGTCAAGAGTGGTAGTTTGCCTGTTGTTGTTGTTGTTGTTGTTGTTGTGATTTAAGGTACCGACTTGTAAGTGGACATCTTTCATTCTGTGGAGCAATCCCAAATTTGCCAGAGGCAAAGTTATAACCATGTTAATTGTTGTTGTATTTTCTATATGGTTTGTTTGGGTTCAATTTCCCTAACAGGACACATCCATGCGAATCAGTTGTTTCTTGTGAGGCAAGAACGGAGAGGTTTCCTTTGGTTGACATGCTTTGACAAGAGTCAGATGAGTCACATGGCTCTGGGTCAAAACCCCAGGCACCCTGGTTGACCCCGGGTCAAATGAACAGATCCCTTTATAAGGGATGTCCACCTCATGGTTTCGTGGGGGAGGTGCCATGGCACACAGTCAAGCTCTGGAAGTCCGCGTCTGAGGACTTCCATGTTTTGACCTTTGGCTTTGCTGCCGCGGCCGTGGCCATCCGCCCGAGCCCGAGCTTGCGGAACGCACCAGATGACGGGTGGGGAGGTTGGAGTTTGCTAAACGCCAGAGGTGGTGTGACATGGTTGGACATGATAGATGGTACAACTATCACCCAGAGGTGGTAGTTGACCCGGAACTTGGGCACAGGTTGAAAGCGCAGGCAGTAGACGCGTTAGTTTGGTGATGCCATTGTGCTTTTCTCGTGGCTAAATTTGTCAATTGAGGGGAGATACCTAGAACCTTGAATAATCCCCTAGTGTGCGAACTATGTTGCCTGATGGAAGTAGCACTGATGTCTCTTTTTTAGTTGGATTGGAATTGGATCGGTAATTTTGTGTTTCACTCGGGGGGGACAACTGGAGATCATTTCACTGTCTTGCATGAGCTGGCGCTTGTTTTCGCCCCACAACGCGGGCATCCATGTGCCATGCGGCCCAAAACCCCTACGATCGCGATCGTCTCGTCCGCGGCTATCGCGCCTGGTCGCGATCGCTTCCGCGTCGCGACTTCGAAGGACCCGGCAGGTCGGCATGGAAGACCTGAAAGATGCCACACAACGGATCGTCCACTATGGACGTTCTGGGCGTTGGCCTCACGTGCTTGCCGTGTTTCACCAACTGGGCCACCGAAACGCCGAGCCGGATGTGAAGTGCTGCAATGCGGTTCTGTCCGGCTGTCGCGACTGGTCGAAAGCTGTGGCGGTCCTCCAAGAGGCGACCCAAATGCGCCTGAAACGCGATGCGGTGACTTTAGCTTCCTTGTTGCGAGGGCGTCAAGGAGAATGGGAGAAGAGTTTTAGCACTTTGTCAGAAGCCGCAAAGTCTGAAGTCTCTTTGGATGCAGTATTCTACATGAACATTTTGGCATCATGCAGCACCGCTCGACGCTGGAAAGAGAGTGCCCATTTGCTCCGGCATTTGGGCATCAAGCGCCACAGGTACGATCAGCAACACTGCAATTCGGTGATGGCCTCGTGTGATGGGCGCTGGGAGTTGACGTGTCATTTGCTGAAGGTGGAGCAGCAACGATCGTTGCAGGTGGATGTGATTGCCGTGAATTCCGCCATCCATGCTTGTGCCGCGGATCATGACGGACACGCCTGGGAACAGGGTGTGATGATCTTGTTGGGGACTGCTGAAATGCGCGTAAGCCCTGACATCATCAGCTTCAATACTGCTATGTCTGCATGTGCACACTGCCAGCCGCAGCTGGTGCTGCTTCTTCTACGCCGTCTTTGCCGCCATCGGTGTCGACCGGATGTCGTAACCTGTAGCTCGCTGATAGCTGCTTGCTCGAGATCCAGCCTTGGGCACCAGTCGATGAAGCTAATGAAGAGCATGCGGAAGAGGAGCATTGAAATCAACACATACACTTATGCCACCGCGATTTCTGCTTGTACTGACTGGCAGCAAGCTGCAGATCTAGTGGTAGATGTGAGGGCAAGGGCTTTGCCATTGGCGGAGCCTGTGATGGTTTCGAGTATCAGTACATGTGAGGGCTGCTGGCAACATGCCCTGCAGCTGCCGGGAATGGCTATTCAAGGCATGCTGGAACAGCAACTTGCCCTGGCGTTGAACGCAGCGATGACAGTGGCAGGAGCCAGAAACATGTGGCAGATATCTTTGCATATTTTGGAGTCCACGCAAAACCATTGGCTTCGTCCTGATGTTGTCAGATGCAATGCTGCCATTGGAAGCTGCAGCAGAAGCTCAGAATGGAACACGGCACTCCAGATGTTTGCACAAATGAAAGGCCTGACAAACGTTGTGTCCAAAATTTCAGCATTGTTGGCATGTGGTCATGGAGGACATTGGCAAGGAGCACTGTGGTTGCTGTTTGGTGATAGGTTGAATGAGGTCGCTGAAGCTTCTACGGCCTTTTTCACAGCGGCCAATGCCTGCGCAGATGCTGGTGAATGGCAGCGGGCTTTGGAGGTCGTGAATGCCATGCTCTCGCAAGGTCCTTCAGCACGGTCAACAGAGACGATGAATGTCGCTATGAGTGCATGTGAGAAGGCGACCCAATGGGAACGCACGCTCGAATTGTTGCAGTGCCTTTGTGAAGTTGCACTGTCCCCAAGCCAGACATCAGTGAATGTGGTGCTCAGTGCTTGTGATAAGGCCGGGAAGTGGCAGCAAGCATTGGTTTTACTGTCCATGCTTGACAGCAGAGGTGGAGATCATCCATTGTCCGGACTTCAGATGAACGTTGTCGGCTACAGCACGGCAGCCAATGCTTGTGGCAGGGCCAAGTGCTGGCAGAACACATCAAACCTACTGTGTAAGATGCAGGCTTCAATGCTAAGATTGGATGGATATTCCCTCAATGCCTTGGTCAATGCTTTTGCTCGAGCTTCTCTATGGGCTCGGGCGATTGGTCCATTGACAAGTTCACATGCAGACAGCATTGCTTTCAACTCGGCGCTTTGCTCCATGAGTACTGGAAAAGTGTGGACACGTGCTTTGGCCACGCAGCAATCCATGGTGCAAGCGGCGCTGGTGGCAGATGTCGTGTCCTTCGGTTCCAGTATCACAGCATGTGAGAATTCACATCGCTGGCTTTGGGCCATCAGACTGTTTTCACAGATGCAGTTCGCAGGTCTCAAACCAGGATTGATCACATGTAGTGCGGCTGCAAGCGCACTTGAGAAGTGCGGGATTTGGAATGGTGCTGGGAATTTGTTGTCGCAGATGTTTTTGTGGGAGGTTCAGCCAAGTGCCACCACAATAAATGCAGTGATTGCAGCCAGTGAGCGCGTCAGCCAATGGCTCCAAGCACTGGGTTTTCTCTCAGCCATGCCCTTGAGGTTCTTGTCGGCAGACTTGATCTCTGTGAACTCTGTTGTGACAGCCTGTGAAAGGCAGCCCATGGTGGATTCTTCCTTGCAAGCTCTTTTGGCGGATTGTTCAGCATCTTTGGAGTGCTTCCTGAAAGAACGCATCAGAAGACCAATTGGGGTTTCTAGCAAAAAAGGGGCCGGGACGCCCAGGGACACCATGGTGTCACCCTTTGCCATGCAGGAAGTTGGAATCTCGGCCCCAGGTCACGGAGTCACCAGGCCGGTCGCGACGACCGTGGCCACCGGTTTTCCTCGCAGCGACCGGACCGCCATGTTCCGAACATGTCCCACTGGATACGCTTGACGGGGTTTGAACGAGTTCACTTGACAGGTGCGAGTTCAAAGGTTTGGAATAGAACGGTTTTCGGGGGGAATGTGAATCTGCCACCCAAAGAAAAAGCCTCATTGGATTCATGAACCTAGAGGATGAACTTGCCTTTCATGCATCCAATTATCCAATGCCAATACCCAAACTCTCCATGTGTAGTGATGATTTACAGTACCTATATTGGGGCATTGGGCTGAAGAGTCTTCTGGTTGGGGAATCCCCTATATTTAAATAGATGTGAAGGGCACTCAGTTGTGATTCTCATGCCCTTCTGACAGTGGGGTTTCTCTCAGCATACGGACATATCTTTATTTCAATAAGAAACAACTGACTTCACACACGCTTGATTATAGTTATTCACATTCAAGTGATTGTAGTTGGCTTGTTGCACAGGAGGACCAATGGCCCTCACCTTCAGCCCAAGTTGGCTTTGCCCCACAGATTGATATGCTGACTTGAAGTGGGTAGACTTAGACTGAGCTGCTTCCTTTGTCACATGTTCTAAAAGGCGTTGTTAGCACCAGCCTGACACGAGTACCGAAGAACCAAGACACATCATGACCTGTGAGCTCTGGAGGAAAATTGACCATCCTACCACACACAAAGATCAATAATTGCAATGATCTATCCCCATCAACTGCCGCATCGATCCAGCGAGCGCCTCCTAGTCCTTCCCCATAGGGGGGGCACTGGAGGTTTGGGATTTACAGAGAGAGAGAGAGAGTCATGTAACGAACATTGCAATGACACACAAACTGCAAGGTAAACCGGTCTATTCACAGGTTTTCCCCCAAGCGAATTAGCAGCGGCGACATAGATGTGTCGAGTTAAAGAATAACGAATTTGCTTAGTGAAGGCAGGCACCTAATTTATGTTCCGAGCGATATTTCAAGAATGCTTTTTCTGGCTCAAATACATTTCCGGACCTTTTGGTATAGATTATGGCGTTTACGAAAATCTGGTTCTGTTTCGGCAGGCATTCAAAGGAAGTAGTGTGGTTTCAGATCGGACAAACTGGGAGACGAACGTTCAGTGGGTATGGTTGTCCTGGTAGCGAGGAATAGTTTGTAAGAAATTGCAGCACCGGACCGGCGAATGGTATAGTGGGACGAGAGGCCATTCCACCCACTGAGCTTCTGGGAAATCCTAGCCTTACAAGCGATGATGCGCATGATTTCTTGTATCGCGGAAAAAGTTTACATTGTAAAACATGTTCCAGATATCTGACGACAACCCTGAAGGTTGCAGCTTGATGGCCTAAAGATCTAGCTTCCGGTGGTTGAATCTGTGCTTCTGGCGAACTAAATGCATAGGGTTTCAGTGCTTGTTCTTTCTGATCATGGATCCAAAGGGGAACCCGTGTAAATGACAATGCATCCTGCCCAAATCGCCACGCCCCAAATCAGCAGCATGAGCAAGCTCACGATCCTCAGGGAATTGCTCCGTATTGATGCTGGCTGCGATTTATGTGCCGCTCCCAGCTCTGGGTCGCCAAGCCGGGAAACTGCCTCGGCGAAGACGATGCTGGCTCGTCCTTCACAGGTGTTTTGTTCTTTCTTCCTTTGAACCCCTTTAACTTTGGCAGGGTGTTCCACTCTAATTGAAGTTTTGGAACTTATCTCATCTGATCTCTCTCAACATTCTTAGCTGACTTTGCTTGCCATGGGACTCTTGTCTAACCGCCCTTCCAGTTCATGAAAGTGTGCCATACTTCCACCGTGTCGACACCGTCTGAAGACGTGACCCGTGGACCGAGGTGTCATCGATCACCTGCGTGCGCGTCATCATCCCGTTCATGAAAGACAGTGATCATGAGAATCAGGACTGACGAGATCGATGCAGTGGGTTTTATTTGGTGTTTATCTTACTACATATTACTACATATTATATGCGTTGCTTGGAATTGCGAAGGGCGAATGGGGTCGATTCGGCGATGTTCTCAGAGAATATTGCGAAGTGCGAATGGGGTCGATTCGGCGATGTTCTCAGAGAATCAGCACTCAAGACAGTGACTGAGATTTGTGGGTGAACTTGGATCAGACTTGTGCGGGTGTTGCCCCAAATTGCCTGGACATGGTTTGCATAGCTGGCATGGCTGGTACATGCGAAGCTTTAAGACACAAAGCACAATGTTTCGTGGAGCGAGTCCCAAGTGTACAGTGTTTTCCCAGCGTCTCTTTTTGAGCTTTTGGAAGCAAGTGACCTTTCCTCGTTTCCCGAACCGTTGGCTTTTTTCTGCGTACTTTCCATTTGCAGGTGAAGTAACACGCGAAACTTCACTCCGGTTCCGGGTTTTTCCCGGCAGCAAAACCAGTGCCCAAATGACCAGGAGTTTTTGGAGACACACTTTGGATCCTTGCGGAAGTGCCTTTCGGCCAAAGCTAGGTATCGGCCCAGTGGCTGGACACATCGGAGGCATCGATGAGGCATGTCGAAAGCCACAAACAGGTGAACCTTCATATTCCCGGATATATAGATCGTTGAGTAGCAGTCCGAATTCTGTTTGCTCCTTTTCTAATCTAGCTCTCAGATCAAATCACAAGAAACAGCCAGACAATCAAGCAACTAACCCAACTCAGCAAACACAGAAGCACAACAAGTAAAAAATCAGTAGCGCTTGCTGATGCTACGATCACTCTCAGGCATGCTCTCCCTTTTCTTCCTTTTGTCTGAGCCCGACCTGATGCCTTACTGGCCAGAGCCTGAGCCGATCGCCAATCCGGCCGCGGCCGATCGCTGGGCTGGGCGTGTGCTTTCAGCTGATTCTCCAATCGTTGTGTGAGCAGCAAAGCAGATGCTTTGAGTCACTGAACATACATAGTTCAAACATGCTCAAAATATAGAACAATAGTATATATTGAATTGCATAGTGAACTAACTGGTTGTTTCCATGCATGTTTAAACATATGGAAGACAAGCTCATGATGGCTGGCGAGCGTCTTTTGAGCTTCGCTCGGAGGCAGGTTTTGCAAAGCTTCAAGATTTCAGTTTCCACGGATGGCCGATGGCATAATGTGGTCTCTAAATTATGAAGAGACATAGGCTACAACTGCTACCTGTTCAACAGTGTTTCCCAGTGAACAGTCATTATAGTGTATATAGACTCTTGATCATTTAAAGTTTAAAGCACCATAAAACATCCCCATTTGGACTTGTAAAACTACATGGGGGGGGGGGTCGAAACGTTCCAGAATCTACATGAATCCAAAAGTCTGAATGGTGAGCAGAAGTTGGGCCTGAACACCTGGTCACCAAGCAGACGGTTCGGCCGTCCACCACAGCCGGTGCTGTTGAGGTTGCTGTATTCCTGTCGAAGCCAAACGCATTTTACAAATGTCTTGCCAGTGCCTGTGGGCCCATAGATATGTTCAATATTGTTTAATTATATAAACGCTATATACAAGTAAATTTAAAATTGTACAACGACCTTCCTGCATGGAAAGACAACAACAACACACAAACCAATCGAGTAGCAAACATCGATCTTTGAGCGGAATCTCCAGGGATGTCCTCGAGACGGACGGCCTTTTGGCGGCCTTCCTCATTGGCTTCGTCGTCTTCGTTCCTCGGAGTACCGGCGTGGACGAGCGCAGGAGGTCGAGTCTGATTGGCGCCATTTGGGGTGGGGGGACGGTGGCAAATCCAGGAAAAGAAATCAATGAGATCCAGTCAGATCTAGATGGTCTAGAGTCTAGTCTAGAGGCTTCTGCTTCATTCTGCTTCATTTAAAGTCACTTAAAGTGGAACAAAACCAGGCCTTTGGGTGGCATGTCTCTACTTCGGTGTGACTTGTAGCCTGCCAGATTACCAGGTGCTTGGGGAAATGGAGCAGAGTGCTCAAAACAGCAACACAGTCCGACCGAAAATTGTAGATTCATCATAGCGGAAGAAACAAACGGTCCGACCGACCGGACGGAGAGACCGTTTTGATACCTTCCGCTGGGTGGACGTGGACCTCCAAGGCCAAATCAGTATGAAGATGCACGAGTGAACGGTGATACTTGTGTCGGCCACGGTGGGTAGCTGCTACCCTGTGGGGCTTGAAACACCTGACTTTCCACTTCGAACTCGAATGAACTCATTTTGGGCTGAAGCCCTGGGAAGAACTTCCAGGCCATCAAGCTCCGACGCATGATGATTTTGCGGCTTACCCGGGGGATTCATACCACGCCCCCGGGTTCAGGGTGTCCAACAATACCCCTTTCAGAAGGGGGTGTCCAATCCACCACTCAATCTCACTGGACAGCTACGCTGCCATCGCCTACGCCATCTCAGAGTCTCAGCCCCCGGGTTCAGGTGAGCTTCGGTATGGTCGGGCTTCTCACTGGACTGGTCTGTGTGGCTTGGCGAGGAAAACGTCCGGACTAGGGCGTATCGAATCGAAAGATGCCCCTCGCAAGTGAGGATAACAAACATGAAAGTGGAGTTCACCACCTGTTTTCATATGAACATGGTATACATTATGGTAATCCAAGGGGCATGTCCATTTCCCACTTCCATGATTGGTTCAGGGAGTGTACTTGTTGGCTCTTTCTGTTCGCAGCGAGAACATGCCGAGAAACCCTCGCGGCGCGTTTGTTTGCTTTGTGCTAGTACCTTTGTACCGCGTGTTTTTCTTTGAAAGGCACGTCCCAGATACAACGGCCGTTCCCTGAAAGCCTCGGGACATGAGGGCTGCCAATGGACGTGCACGCTGGGTGGCAACACATGTGAGCTGAAAAAAGAACTGTATTGAGTAAGGAAGGTTTCCACAGGTTTGCCAATGACATGGATTCTGTGCAGGACATGGGTGTCGACATGGTGACACCGCTACATAGAGGCACTGCGTAATTACAGCACTCGGTTCATGTTGTTTGGCTTCCGAACGCGTGGCTGTCCACCTAACACGCGGCTCTGAGGAGAGCATGTTCGACAAGAACGACGCTCGGGTGGAGCAAGAGCGCGCCGAGGCAGAAGAGAAGCGTCAGAGGACCGTTCGGGGACGCTGAATAAGATCGCAGGATATCGCAGTATGATTGGATTTCGTTTATGCTCAGCAGTATCCAGGGGTCGTGCAAATGTAGAGTTTGATTAATCAACCCCCCAGTTGAATTGAAAACCATGTTCAAATCTTTTCATATGGGGGTTATTGTATGGAGTTATGTTTCGATATGATTAAGCAAGAGTCTATACATGTCGTGGATGTTTGGTCTTTGGAATATCCGATCCTTGCTCCCTTAGAGGTCTCCGATCGAGCGGCGGATGACTCTCCACTTCGTCGGACTCGGGAAGGATTCGGTATTTCAATCACTCGGTTTGAGTCTGGATGGACCCAGTTGGTTTGTTTGGAAGTGTGGATAATTGTTTTTGAAACAGGACACCCAAAAGCTTGGAACATTCTGGAGGACAGACACAGGCAGGATAGAGTTAGAGCAAAGGTAGTGGCAAAGGCAACTGTGGGATTTCAACAACCATTTGGATCCATTTGGTCTAGTTGTTTCTACTCGTACCTGAGACAGGGATTCTATGCAGCCCTGTTCGGACAACCCGTTCTTTCGATGGTTGCACGGCCAGTCTACCTTGGAATATGTATATATAGAATCCACTTTAGGCAGAGTATATATGCCAGCCTTTTGTTTTCCTGGTGAGGTTTCTGGCTTTGGCGGCTGCTTCACATCTCTGGGGTTGTCCATTGGTGCAGCGGTGCATTTGTGTTTTTCATGTTTTTTTCCTGTTGATATCCGAATGTAGTTCAGGATGACGAGGGTAGCCAAAGCACCTGGGAGTTTGAGCATGTTCGTGCGCAACAGTTTTCTTTGCACGGGTTTAATAGTAACCATGTATCAGACAACTATTGACTTGCTACACTTCCTACGGCCCAAAAAGCACCACAGATGTGGTCAACCCGCCATCCCCCGTGTTGCCACCATGCCTTGCGCGGCACGACGGGTTGCTTCGTTGGGTCAGCATTGGGGTCAGCGGCATGTTTGGCGTTGGACGTCTCCGAAAAAGAGTCACCGAAAGTCCCAACGCCGATTTTTTGGCTCTTCGGGCCTCAGGCGGCTGCTGGTTGAACGTACTCGCATGGAACGTCGATGTTTCTCGTTCTGCGTGATGACCTTCCAGGATCATCAAGAATTGCGAGAAGATCTTTGAGACCATTGCAAGCCAAGGCAAGTGGGGAGGTCAGTGTATCCGTTTCAGGTGGTGTTTCCGAGATTTTTTCCACCTGATGTCAACACACAGCAAACGACCTGATACGACCTGATGAAGCTAGCAACATCGATCATGAAGCACAGTCATCCGCTTCTTTTGCGCCTCGCGTTTCCCTGATGTATTCCTTTTGTAGCGACAAGCGCCAAGAGAGTGTAGGGTTAATTGTGGACAACTGTGAGTGCTGTTTTATTTTGTTTTTTAACGACACAGAAAGCAAGAATACCCATCTCAGCTTTCCATCGACTGTGTGCCAATGACATCCCTTTTGAAATCTCTCCTCCCATGCCATGCCTTGTATCCCTGCTTCGATTCAAGGGGCTGAAACACCTCCACAACTACATATCCATGCAGGTAACCATCCATAGTATATCATTAAAAAACACCAAAACAACTCACCTCCCAGACGAATTGAACTGACCAGTCACGTATTCACCAGTCAACGTATTGAACACCGTCACCGTCACGTATTTGTCACGGTGGACGACGGTGGACATGGAGCGTTTTGGTTCGAAGCAACCAGGACAGGCCACCATCGAGGACATCATGCAGATCTTGCCGGACTTGGATAATCTCTTCGTGGAGGAAGGCGTCACCTTCGCACGTGAGGACCTGGTGAACACAGCCACCTGGCTGCCACGGTGAGGACCTAGGTGCGGGAGGAGCTGCTGTGTTTTAGTATTGTTTTGTTTCATTTATGAAGGCCTATATCCCTCACAAAATACTTATACGAGAGGATGAGGGGCTTTATTGCATGTCACGTGCAACCTCTGTAACAACAATGGTTGTTGATACTTACCCTTCACCGTTTCCATTCACCGCGCCTTTGCACTCAGTTCTTTTTTCTGCACTCAAAAGAAGAGCCTACATAATATATAGATTAGGATGACTTGGCTGTGACACAAAAAGAACGAGCTGCCTTGCACTGATGAGATGTGTTTTGGATCTTGATTTCTGAACATGACTTGATGAAAGCACTATGTCACTTCCGAGTTGGAGCCAGCAACTGAGGTGAACTGCATGGATACGGACGCTGGGCGGCAAGATGTGCATGAATCATGATCCATCCATGTGAGGCGAAGCTCAAAACAACTCTAATTCGTTTTCACCACGCGGTTGCCGCTGTGGGTGCCCCAAAATGGATGAAGAGATGACTCCAGACGCGGAGGGTTGGTTGAACACTGCCCCCACCACTTTCATCTGTTGGGCCCCTAAAGACCAATCGAAGATCAAGGACCTATATCCCTGCAGGTCAAAGACCTCATTTTACTGAAGTTGATCATACAAAAACACAATCCCATGAGGTAAAGGACCAGGTTTTACTGGATCTAGTAGGGGCTCCTGGCATCACTACTAGGAGCAAGGACGCTACTAGGTATGGGGGCTCCTGGCATCGCTACTAGGAGCAAGGATGCTACCAACCTAATGATTTACTATGTCGATGATGTCCTATGACTAATTTGGGTTCACTGGTCATCAGCGTGTAACACCCCGCACCGCCCACCCCGGGTTTTTCTGGGGTTCCAGGATGGCAGTGGCTCGATTGACCGGAAAGAGTTCTGCTGGGGCCTTAGCAGTTCTTGAATGTCATGATAATGCATAGACCGCATAGACACCCTTTGAGGCACCAGTTTCCTGAACCCGCGACACTCATTAGGTGTGTTTTGAGGTCCGAGGCCGCTTGACCAAAAGATGCTCCCGAAGCCAAGTGTTTGAGTAGCTGTACTCGCGACACAAGAATGCGGCATTCGAGTTGATCACAGAAACCGAGATCTATGATCCGTATCATATGCATTTCCCAGTCCACCCCCTGTTCAGATGTTTGGTTCTCGAGCACGTGATGAGCGATTTTGCGCCAGGTCACAGTGTTCTGCATTTGGCCGAAGGCTTAAGACCGATCTCCATCATGGCCACTTGGCATCCGTTGGTCCATGTGCGTCTCACAATCTACGGAACCCTGACGCCAGGAAGGAGTTCGTTTTTTGTAACATAGATTCGATGTGTTGGAATATGGACCTGTCGCGTGTGCTAATGCTGGCTTATGATCTTAGTCACGTGGAATCATTGGGTCATTGCGCAGAGGATCGGCATCAATGGGCATAGATGTGTGTGTGTGCTTAATATCCTTCATATCCCGGAAGCCATTTACAGCTTCAGATTCAGGGGATCAAAGTCATCTCCATGCACTAGTCATCTCCGTCAATGTCTCTTGCAGTCCATGCCACGTGAGTTGCGTGTGGACTATGCTGGGAACTCCTTCCGATGGTTCGACACGGACGAGATGCTTCGGGTGCACGGGGCAGACTTGTCCAATTTCTTGGCCAAAAGCATCGAGGAGCACTTCAAGGTCGATCTGACACATTTGGACGGAGGGCGATCTGACAGAGCACTGTGTGATTTGATGAATTAATTGTAAATAATACTATATATATATATTTATATATATATATATATTATTTGTGGGTATGGGGTCTAAAGCGATGAAAACCATTTTTGCACCAGCTGCATTTGTTTGGGCTTGAAGATGACCAAGCGTGACGAACCGAAACTATACTGTAGTTAACTCCGGTTAACTCTGAAGAATCAGTAACCCCCCCGAACAGGTAAATCCTTGACCATCCTGGAAGGTGGGGTTGATTAAGAAGTCAACTGATTGGTGCGAAGCCTCAGAGTCGGTCTGGGAGAGCTTCATTCGTGCAGGGTTCCGCGCAAAACAAAAATATCGATATTGCGCGGTGCACTTCGTAAACGGTGCACCAGGTGCCTTTGCACTTTCAAGTGCTTTGCGACATTGAAGGCCAGAGCAGATGGGAGTCAGACCAATGTCCAGGTCGGACAGGTTGGGCCTGGCAAGGCTTGTTGAAGACCCTGCAAACAAGTCATGTGAACATTGTGAGCGCATTGCAATTGCTTTCTGGTACAACCTAGAGGTGCTCAGATCACGTGTCCCATCGCACCCACAAGCCAAAGGCCCGAACCCGTGCCACGATCAGCAGGCCCCTTGACCTCCGGCGATTTCCAGCGACTGCTGCAGAACGAGGCACTGCAAAACAAAATACAGTGGTTTCAGAGTAGATGGCACAAACCTCGAGATGTCTTTTTGCATGGGGGTCCATGCAAACCACTCTCAATCCACTTTGTTTTGCTCAGAAACGGATTGTCCGGGTCAAGACACTGGAAGCAACGATCAGTTGAGTCTGGGGCGAATGTTGTGAATCTTCGAGCCGAGAGTGGGTGCTTCTTCGGTTTCAACCGATTTCGGGTCGTCACCCTAAGGGTCGTTACCGGGTCCCTGTCTCCCCAGAAACAGTTCTTCCACTGCACATTGCTTTGGTTTTCGGAAAATGGCCATTCCAAGTAGAGATCTTTCTTTTGGCGACGGACTGCTACATCCGTCGTTCCACTCCCGTTCGAACGCAGTTGGAGGCCCCAAAGCTGTGGCTCTTCGACGCACGTTACATGCCAGAGGACACGTCCGGTTAGGCTGATGTGAGGAGTCAGGAGTATGATGTCTTTGTTACTGCACCAAGCCACGTTTAAGGAAAATCGAATACGAGGTGAATCCTGATGAAGAGACTTGATGAAACACCAATTGACTTTTGAACAACGATTCTGGGAAAGAGCACTATATCATACTATATCGCTTTAACTCATAATAGGGTAGTATCGATCGAAACAGGGTCTGACTGAGTGTTGTGATAGTGGTGGGAACCGGATCTTCACCCTGAAAGGACCTGCGGAAGCAATGCGAAGAACGCACAAGGCTTGCAAGGCATTCGACGTTCGTTTTCCACGTTCCGGACATTTGGTAATCACAGTTCCCCGTGCTTTGTTTGTTGTGTCGGGACAAAGCGGGCAGGTGTGTGAAGATGTGTGAATTGTGAGTCAAACTTGCTGGATTTGGGTCGTTCTCGGTACCGTCATCATGACTAGTTGCGATGACCGACGTTGTAGAACGTTAGTTCTCGTTCACACACGTATCATTGTCAGATGGTCTCATGATGTCTCATGGTCATTTTCCTCATCCTCGTCCCGTTGGACTACAGTGTCCATCACCATGAAGACACCCGTCCCTCACCCTCGTCCGGACTACGGTGACTGGGTCAGGCCCAGCGGCTGTTTGCCGAACGGAGCCAAGCTGGAGACTCTGGTGGAAGAGAAGAGTGATACACAAGCGGATCCTTGGCCTGGTCCAACCTGTGATTCCATGTGGGTCCAAAAACTAAAGCTGCAAACTCTGGCTACACAATCTAGATACGAATACAAGGTATACAACTAGTATAAACGGGATCCACTGCAAGATCCCAACATCAGCCTGAAATCTGATCCACCGGCAGGAAGCTTTTTTGTTTCTCCAGTTGTTTTGATGTTGTTGGGTTCCTACCTGGAGGTTCATTCTCCGGCATGAATATGCTTGAGCACTTGGTTGTTGCTCATGTATCTTGAACAGCGCTTTCTTTCTACCATAAACTCCTAGCAGACCTAGGCCCTAGGCCGCTTAAAACTCAAACATCAGACCACTGGAGATCCCGCAGATTCGTGGGAAAATCGGCGTATATCAAGAACAAGCAAAAACAACAAATACGCTGATTTTGATTTGTTTTTGATAGAACAAGTGATTGTTTTATTGTTTTGATTGTTACTTTTGAAAACGTCATACGACAAATTCAGATTGAACACTCGTAGAGCCACTCGCAGAGCCATGTTTCTGGATGGAGTCCAAGTGGAAGGGAATGGAATGCTGGCTTTTGTCCCGAAGACTGGAAACACTAAAGGTCGGAAGCCTCTACTGTATATATTTAGACTTTCTCGGAGAATCAATCTCCAGGAAGTTTCTTGGCTTTGAGCAACTGCCAAGGTGGTTGAAGTAAATGCACTAGCAATGGATTAAAACTCTGTAAACCATGCCTGTATACGCGGTTTGACAGCCATGAGGGATCCCTTCTTGGCAGCTACGGGTTTCACAAGGCATCCAACGCAATTTCTCTGGGGGGAAGATGGCGAAAATTCCAGATCTGCAGCCCTGACGAAGCATGAAGGTCATGAAGGTAACAAGTGTATCCAAAGACTTAATTGCATCCAGTTCCAACACTTGTAGCCATAGAAATCAGCTGCTACAACTATGAATGGATCAAAGTGGATCCACCAGGTTAAGTATTTGTTCAACATGTTTCCAAACCTTCTATCACCGATGTGTCTCTTTCACCGACACCTCAGCAGTGCGCAAGGAGCTGAGCAGTTTGTCTGAACGGGAGAAGCAGGTGGCCCAGTTGTTGTCGGAGCGCGAAGCGGAGATTCAGCAGCTGCAGAGAGAGCTGATCCTTGGACATATTTTCAGAGTCCACGGACGTTTGACATCTAAGAAAAGAAAAACATACACCACCGCCATTATTGCAAATGGACATGTTCATGGGTCTGTGTGGTTTTGAATCTTTTGGAGGGAATGAAACTTGAGTAAAAGAGGTAAGGCAGGGGTTCCCAAGTGGGCAGGTACTATTCGCTTTCAGTCAATTTCTCTATTCCGGGGCACCATGACGTGAAGTTTCCGAGGAGCAGCTTGCTCCAGGAAGATGTAGACGCGTCACCTGCCGTGCTCCGAAGTTGCCTGAAGACTGGGACGAAAGTTTCAACATGTCCGTGTCAAACCAAAACATACCTAGAAGTCACAGGAACCCGCACCAGCCTTGCACAACCATAAAGTGCGAACCCTGGCAATATTTCTCCTGCTCTCGCTGCATCTTGCTGGCTGGGGTGAGGTGCAAGAAATGCCATGAAGACACTGTACTTGCCAGGTTTCACCCAGCTCTTCTTCCCCGCCCAATTGCGGAAAGGATTTCAACACGCATACAGTATCATACAGTATTCAAAACATGTCGGATGCACTGGGAGATGCGCTGCGCCAAGCAGCATGAGGGGATCACTACTGCTTTATGCCTGTACAAAGACTAAACCCATTGATGAGACCAAGGAACTCCTGGCCATTGACTCCGGTGGATGAGGACGAAACCTCCCTACAGATGTTGGAGGCCACACGTGATCCGTTATTTTTTGGGGGGGAAAGCGCGGTTGGAATGACAGGGGACACTACTAATATGTGGGAGTTGATCGAAAACTCCGTGTAAGGAGTTTTATATAACACAGCCTTTCAGATGTTGTTAGAACCATCCGCGAAAGATTCGCGATTAGGTTCGCGAAAGTATATTTGTTTGCCCCGAAAGATTTCTCGAAGGTCATCGCTTTCATATGTTTTCCTTTTCTACCGGACTGACAAAGAATAGAAATACAAGGCAATCCATAGTTAATTGATTGTATAAAGTTATATACTATATTGTATACATAATATGTATTCCCGAATCCCGAGTACCTATTGAAAAACGGACTCCTATTAGAAAAAGTGATGTCGGAAACCAGTAAATGCGGTTTATATTCGTTTTTAAATTACCGCCCTTCCAAGCCGCTACTCAACTACCAACATTGCCGATTTTGGTGGAGTTCTTTTAATTAGGTTCCAAAAACAACCGTAACTGCCCACCTCTGTCCACTCTGTCTATCCACCATGACACGCCGTGTTTACACCAGCAGGCTTGCCTTCCCCCAATGGCACGGACTCACGCAAACGCACTTTCCACCAAGGTCACGCAAAGCCGCATGGCACAGCGACATCACCTTTCGAAAGCTTTAGTTGTTAGTCTAATGAAATATCTATTCTAATAAAGGTTTTGTAGGGGAAAAGGAAGGCCCTTCGATCTGGAGGTTTTTTGAATTTTGATACGAGTTTAATAAATAGTTATATATAGTTCCTGGATGACTTTTTGGTTTTGAAGTCCCAGGTGACCCTATTTTGGACCACCCCGATTTCAGGGACCCCCCTATTAAAAAAAAATGCGACCGAGGTTTCCTTGTGGGGGGGAGGCGTGTTTTTTAATAGGTGGACCGGATTATATATTCATGTATTATATTGTATGGACATGCATACTAATGTTTTGTTGTTCAAGCCATCCACATTTCTTCGTCTGTGTGTCAACTGTTTGCGGAGGCTGTTTCAGGACGATTCAATCGCACATTTCAATCCAACTCCGGCTATTCTGACTGGTGCTTATAAGTAAGTGAGGAATGGGGGAATGAGCCGATCCATTCCCTCATTCGAATTGAGTCACATGAATGTGACATGTTCAGCTCATTTCAATTCCGTCCGTCCAACGTCCGAGGCGGAGGAAGCGATGCTCGTCCAGTCGGTGCAGGAGGCGCTGGCGCGGATTTCAGCTCATCGAACGCCCACTCTGCGAAGCAGCACGGGTGTCAGTGTACAAAGGACGGTTCAAGTGGCTTGACCGGCCGGTGTGCTGGCCTTGGGGTGCAACCCGTGGGTTGCAGGTGTCAAAAAGAACTGGAGGGCACTTAGGGGTTCATTGGAGAAATGAGAAAAGCAACATGTTGCGGCAGAGAGGAAGATATGCCCGCGATATCCCGCGATATCTAATTTGCAGGCCTCAGGTCGCCTGGGGGTGAGGGTTAACAGACAATGGGCGGGTTTGACGTAAGACTCAAGACCCTGTATAATTGCTGAATATACATACTTGTCATCAAATCTAACCCAACAGCTGGTACATGCTGGTACTAAATCCTCATGTCAATGTTGCTCGGAGACCTCTAAGAGATAGAGGAATGTGTGTCATTAAACAGTAAGGATAACAACAAGGTAAACATGGTACCAACATGTACCAACCACAATCAGCAATAAATTTGTCTCAACCACATGTATTGTACAGTGGTTTCAGAGTAGATGGCACAAACCCGAAGATGTTTTTTTAATATGGTTGTCCGCCTTGTAAACAATTTTTTGCCGATAGTGCCATCTACTCTGAAGTCACTGTATGTTTTGCACCTTTTTCCAGGACATTCTGCAGTGAGACGGAGCTGACCACTGCCTCGCCCTTCAGCCTCCGTGAGAAGCCGCGCTCCTCGGGGCCGTTGCCACCGCTGGAGAGTGATGGCTGCCGAGTGTGTGGATCCGATGACAAGGACGCGAATCGCCCGCATCAAACGCGCGAAAGAGATTTGGCGGGTTCTTGTTTGGGGGTAACAGATGGTTTGATGGATATGATTCGATGATTGAAACCGATTTGCCAGATGGAGCTTGTGTTTCCAAGAGGAAGGTAATGAAGTCGTGTTAAATGTTAAATAATTAGTTGTCAGGTTGAGGTTATGTGAGGGGTGAGCAGGAGTGAGTGGATTTTTGGGGGTTTGCGCCAACTACCCGGTTGCCTATCAATGGTTTACTGGGTGAAGGGCTATAGTTCATCTTCAGCAACCACAATATATTCAATAGGATTCAATAGGGCCAAATATGGCCAAATCAAGCACTCTGCAGTAGCTCTATTCAATTCTGTCTATTCTCGCAAACATATTATCCGAGCCACAGTTTCAGGCCTTTTGGGCCTAGCAAGCTTTTCCAAAAACCACCCTGGCAAGCCAATCCCAGCTTCCCATCATCGTCCCGTTCCCACTTTTGGGGTGCTTTGACCTGGTTACTAGTCCTTCTTCTTCCAATCGACCATCATCTTCCACCACGTCCAAAGAACGGTCTGTGCTTACGAAAAAGACGGCAGATGAACGGGATGAACGGTCTGTGCTCCAGGAGCGCTCTGCGCGTCACACGCTCCGGCAGCAGCTCGCCGCCGCAGAGGAAGCCCACACGACGCAGGAGCTCCGTGTGACGGAGTGGCAGGCGCCGGGGTGTTCACCGGCGAAGCGTTTTGGGGCGCCACCGGAAAGCGGGGGTGGCTCGGTGAAAGTGGGGAGCTGAGACCTGAGGTTTGTTCGTTCTGGGTGGACCTGCAGCTTGAAGGGATGTGTGTTTGGTTGTGAAGTTTAATTGCTCGTCACTAGTTCACTGGTACTGTGTCAGTATAGATATGATGTCAGTATTACAATTTCCTCACCCTTCAAGTTTGGTCCAGTACAACACTAGGAATCAGGGGGCTCACATAGGGTACCAGGGCAACATGACGCAACCTGTAGGCTGAGACCATTGGGAGACCCACGCTTTTCCAGAAGAGCAGTGGTCCAAATTCTCCCGGTCTCCCACGGGTCGAATCGAATCGAACCTATTGGCCAAGACTCGGGCGAAGTCGGCAGACGCCGCCTTGCTGGAGGAGCGGGCCGCGCCGGGGGGGTCCAGGGTGCCTGACGGGAAGGTTGGTTCAAAGCGGAAGATGTAGCGACCTTGGGGTAAGCACTATAGAAGGAGTTGCTCAAGAAGTCCTAATTACCTGGAGTGTTTTTTTAGTGTGACAAAACTCTCAGGCGATTTTGCCATCATGTCCTGCTCAAAGTGGATTCAATTGAGGAGCAGACGGAGTTCGCCCATGCTCAGCTCCAGTGGAAGCTGGAGATGGATCTGGCCATGCGCGACAAAGACCTCGCACATGTCCAGGAGCTCCGTGAGATCCAGAGTCGGATTCTTGGCTCGTTGGGTCATGGCACCCGGGGATTGGCCCGGTTTGATCCCCTGGTACAGTTGACCATTCGTAGTCTATTCATGTTTTTTTGGTCAATCCGGGTTCCCGGGATTTGATCCACAGCCATGTGACACACCGTTTATTTCTGTTTGTTTTCTTTTTGTTTTATGCATTATTTTTGAGTTTAAGGTTGCCCCAACAAGATCCAAGAAGTATCTTTTGTGTTGAGGATGGAAGAGGTCTCTCTTCTTTTTGTGGAGTGGCCCTTCGTAGTGGGCACAGGCGCTAAAGTTTTTGAACTTGAGATCTATGTTGCCGTTCCGGAGAAGAGCACCATGCAGCCAGTGGATTTGGCTTGGTCAACACTGTCAGTTGATTCGGCTTCATCGTATGCTTCGTCGCTTCGGATGTTGGTGGCCATTCGGTCAGGTCGATTGGGACACCATACCTGGTCACGGTCACAGCCCCAAGCCGTCAAACAATGACAATTGACAATACACAAACGGGGATGGGTCAAGACCTGGAGTCCTGGTCCACCATGTATCTTGACCTCCCTGTGTCTCAGGTAGGTCAAACAAGGGTATCCTGGTTTTGACCTTTGACCCACAGCCAATGTTCATTATTGTCAATTTGTTTTTTCTGTTGACAGTTGATCTCCAGACCTGGTCCAAGCGCCTGATTTCGATCCAGAACACTCACCTCCTCGGCTCGCCACGAAACTCGCACCACACGCGCTGCGCTGCGCGTACGTGCGACAAGTGACAAGTGCATGCGCTTGTCGCGCTGACCCTTCTTGGAACAATCATGGCAGTGGAACATGGCCCCTGGGAGGAGGATTTGGTCCTCAAACATGTGTTTTTTTCCCACTTACATGATTGTTCCAGGGAGGGTATCCTGAGGATCCACCAGTCCGAGTTGCGACACCAGGCGGAGGTGTTGACCTTGCGGCATCGGGTCGCCAACTGCGCCGAGCAGGAGGAATGGCGGCTCGCTCGGGTGAAGAGTTGGACACCTGGTGCGGAGTCACCAAGGGTCTCTCATTTGGAGTTCGTGTCTTTCTTGACTTGATGTTGGGCTTTAGGTGTACTGTAATTATGAATCATAATATACTAACTAGTATACAAACTGTTATATCTTATATTATTAATGCTTATACATATATATATATACCGTCCATCGTGCTGAATAGCCAATGCAAGGCAACAGATGGAGCTCTTGCTGCTCAAGACCCAGCAGAAGCGCTCAGAACGAGCTCAAGAGCAAGAGCTTCAGGAGCTCGGGTTCACGCGGAGCCCAATAGGAAGAAGTGGCTTACTGTAGGCGTTGAACAAGTACTGGGATGCCCAGCGCCCAGAATTCGCATTTCCGAAGATTGGCTTGGCATTGTACGGTATGAAGAAGGACAGGATCTAGACACATCTACCATATGTTTGCTAGTACGTATTCCAGACATTCCTGGTGAGGTTCACTCAGTGTTGGTTTCGAAGCCCCTCCCATACTCCCTGCTGGCCCACACCGCCATCCACCAATGCACCTGGCACCACCGCAGGGTGCTTCGCCCGCGCCCTTCGCCGCCTCCGAGCGCCTCGCCTCGCCTGGAGGAGTTGTTGTCCTCCGTGGAGCTGGAGCGGCTCACGGGTGAACAGCGTGCCAGTGAGCTGAGCTCCAAAACCCGCCAGGAGACCCTCGGTGTGAACCACCGACGCCAGTGCGGACCATGTGGGGGGGGGGGAGAGCTGGGCGCACCATGTGGCACGGGTGGCACGGGCTTTGGGGAGTTGGGGAGATTCAGAGTGTAGCCTCATGAGGGTGGATGAGGGGTGATTGAAGGGGTATGGCGCTAATGGCTATGGTTTAAAACGATCGGTCCCATCCGGTGGACACTCAGGAAAGACCTGGCTGCACGCTTGGCGGGATGTGGTCTTGAGATTTTAGCCTTGGAGAATGCCATCGAGGTGCAGGGTGGTCTTGCCTTCGATCAAAAACATCCAAAGACTAACATGGCAAGGCAATGTAATTAAGCCACCAAGCTGAGGTGTTTGGAAGTCAGGATGAACACCACTAACAGATTGCGGAAAATGTGGAACTGAAGGAGATTGACTTTCTGCAAGCTTGTCATTCAATTTACTCTGGATTGCTTTTGGCCAAGTGGCTTTAAACATGGAGTACAGCCGGACCTAGATCAACCAATGCGCCACCACTGGAGGCTCAGAGACACAACCCCAGGCCAGAGGATTTGAGGACCAAACCAAACGCCAAAACAGCCGCTGAGGCATTGCCTGTTCGGTTGGATGGAGGGGTGGATGAGTGCCTGAGGACGAACGAAAGTCAGAAAAAACGGCCACCGGGTGCTTGTAAGATCTTGTAAGCTTTGTCAATGTTTTGTCTGGAAATCCAATCTGACCGGCCCAACCAGAACCTGCAGTCACCCAAAGTAACACAAATGATCATGAAACACTGGTTCCAAACTACAACATTCAAACACTATAGTGGAATAGCGCACACAGGCCGCAGGCCTGGCTCCATTGTTCCCCTTTTTATTACAGTATATTGAAATTCCAAGCAGTCGCAAGAAGCTGCAAGGATATTGTTCAGTACTGAAACTTGTGGGCGCAATGACACCCTTGCAGACATGAAGTCTGCCGGTGAATGCAACAGGAGTTAGGTTGTTTGGGCATGATTTTGCACTTGTGGAACGCTGCGTAAAACTGCAAATGCACAGAAGATGTGTAGTCTCTAGTTTGATAGAGCGATCATTTTGCTCCATTCTTTGGTTCCTAGTTGGGCAACCACTTCTATTTTATAATTGTTTACTAAATTTAAAGTAGTGGACGGCATGCTCTTTTTGTTTGTCCAACGTCAGTGTTCGAGAAAGGCCCCCACATATACGAGAGATATGTTTGTTTGATGACACTATAAAGTTTGAACAAGATACTGTGACATATGTGACATGACCTCCTACTTATATACGTAGTCTAAACAAGATAGGGCCCCTACGTGATAGATAGTGTTTTGAGTTTAGTAATTATGAATAAATGCCGCCGCTCAGTTTATTCTTGAAGTGGACCTTGAAGCAGGAACTTCTGGTTCCATTCATTTGTTTGCGTGAACATGTGTGATCTATCAACGGCTGATGGCTGATCCACATATATCAGGTTACATGTTCGTACAGTGTATTTGCAGAGAGGGTGTGCCTTCAAACGAGGCCACTAAGTGTGAGACGAAGCAAAGTTATGTGGTTTGCAAAGGTTTGCGGCTCCAACTTGCAACTTTTGCAGCTATGGGCGACATGCATGAATGGAACAAAAATAACAAGCGCACCAAACTCTATTTGAGTGCATCAACATTTCTCGATATCGAAGTAGCACTACTATATACTCTTCACAGGTACTTCTTCTTTCCCTTTTGCTCTAGTGCTTCCCTCCCTGCAGGAAGGCAGAAGAGGAGTCTTCGCGACTGGCCTCGGAGCTTCAGCAAGAGGCCAGGGCCATGGGCGGCCACGAAAAGGATGAAAGCGACGTTGGGTGAGTTGGTTGGATCAATCTTACAGGGTTGGGCTGTGTTGTACAACTAGAGGCCACAGCTACAAGAAGGGGTGGGTCACAGGCCAGCCATGCTGGACATGCAAAAAAGCAACTAAAAAACAACCAGATGAAGCCCGGATATTTGTGGTATGTCTTGTTTAAGGGATCTTGCGCAGAGTATGGTTGATGAAAAACATAATATGTTCTTTTTTTGCATTGCCAGTAATTACATGCCAAAGTACATGCCAATACCAACCGAGAAGAAGGGTTCAAAATAAGGCTCGGATGTTCATCCGTTTAGACAGACCTGGGCCCCTCAGAGTCACCGATGGCAAGTCGGTGTTCATCCGTTGACCTCGGACTTCGCTCTCGAGCCAACGAATCAGTGGTACTTATTTTTGCACGGAATTGGGAGACACTGATTTATCATGACTTATCCAGAAGCAGGTGACATGGGCGGATGGCACGGCGGGGTCGATGTTCCCTCCAAAACGCCCTGGGCGGTTTAGAGGCACCTGATGCGTGGTCTTCCTCCCAAATCGGTGCTCCTATTTCGGCCCTTGAGGCTCGGTCCAGGACCTCGGTCCAGCGTCCCAGGCAGAAATGCTCCGGCGGGAAGAGTTGGCGCAACAGGTGCAGTTGGCGGAAATGACACGGCTGCATCAAAGAGACATGGCAGAGCTCAGCAGATTTTGAGTTGCTGAAAAGATCGGCGGGCTACTCTCCCACTCGCGAACACGGAAGTGGAAAAGTCCCTGTTTGTAGAGCAACATGGTCTTCCAGGGGCCCAATTTCTACTACTATGTTAGTGGGTCAGAGTGTAAGATGTTGGACCAATAGGACTTGGACATTGGTGTTGAATTTGTTGGTTCGAGCCACACTGGTTTGCCAGATCCCAGTGATGATTCCAGGCTTCTTGTAGAACAATGGATTCGGGATGTTCAATTTCCAAGGGGTGAGCTGTTAGGGAACGTGTTTCAAAGCATGGTTTTGCAAAAAAAGGGGAAGCCCAAAGCGAAACAAGCTCATGATGAACCTCCGACCCTAGTCTGCACTTTTCAGAGACACCAATCAAGTCCGATTGATATCCGTGTGTTGTTTCCAGTGTCAAAAGTGATGAACTCGAGACCTATATATATATATATATGAATCTGACTGTGGGTTAAAATCCGCAGTCCTCAACCCTGAGAGGTTGACCACCCTTAATTGTAGAGGAATCGGTTCATTTTTTCAGGAGTCCACCAGGGCTACGCGGTTTTGAGCCAAAGCCATATCAGAGAATGCATGGCGTGGACGCGTAGCCTCACCACTCGGTCGCCCGAACTGGCATGTTTGTGCTAGTTCCTGCTGGATCGGATCCGACCTTGCTAATGAACTGAATTAGCCATGTTCTCGACGCATCGGAATAGCCCGTATGTTCACCAAATGTTGCATTTGAAAAAACTGTGTATGTTTAATTGTTATTGCATAATTACCCATTATAACTTGCTTAATTAGTTTATTTGATTGACTGACTGACTGACTGACTGACTGACTGACTGACTAACTAACTAACCGACTAACCCGCTAACTAACTAACCAACGAACCAACGAACCAACTAACGAACTAACTAACTAACTAACTAACTAACTAATCTAACTAACTAACCAACCCACCAACCAACCAAGCAACCAACTAACTAACCAGCTAACTAACCAGTTAACCAACTCACTAACTAAGTAGCTAGCTAGCTAACTAACTTTATAACGAAGTAATTAACTAACTAACCAACATTAACTAACCAAGCTAACTTAACTAAACTGAACTAAAAGAAAAGTGTCGAACCCGTGCCTAACGTAACGCCCACGGCGTCGATCTGAGGAGAAGAGGAGCAAAGCCGCGCAGCGGCCGAGGCCAGAGCTCGAGACTTGGACAGAGGGCCACCTGAGAGAGGGTGATCAGCACTTGGGAGCTACTAGGGTGGAGGCCATCGCTCTTAGGTTGGAGGTCATCGCTATGAAGGTTGGAAGCCATCGCTACTAGGGGGAGGCTCCTAGAGGGTGGTCGGCATGTGAGATACCCTCAACTATACTAGGGTCTGGAATGGGTGACCTTCCAGGGTCTAAAATGCAACCACCGAGGGTCTCAGCAAGTAGTTGAGAGTATCCTTTGAGGTGAGAGAGGGAAGGTGTAGGGACAATGATAAGGAAGTCACTTAAGTCGCGGCCTGGCACCTGCAATGCCAGAGAAGTATTATATAATATATATATATACCCCCAACAAGTGCACTTATCCCCCTTCAAGGATGTGTACGTCTAAATGGTGCCTCAGGACACCACGATTTCCAGCCGTACTCTATTGTTTAGATGTGCATATGCGGTCTTTGGACTCACAATAAAGAGTTTAGGCTTGGATCGTTTTACAGGATTCTTGATTCTATGATTCTGAATGATTTTGATGTGAGGGGTTCAGTCTGAAGGACAGCTCATGTCATGGTCTTCCCCCTGATGTCAACTTCCTTCCATGGCCTGGGTGCAATTCCTCGCATGTTTCTTTTCAGGAGAGGAAACCCTCGAGCTACAGCTACAGCAGCTGGAAAGCCAACTGGAGGCAGCGTTGAAGGCGCCCGCGCCAGAGCTGCCAAAGGTGGAAGAAAGGAAATCCGTGTCTGTGCTGCAGATTGACTATCAGGCCCAGTTCTTAAAACAACCATTCCATTGGCGTTTTCAAGGACTGTTGGCCTGTTCTGCGGCGGTGTGGCTGGACCAATGACCATGGGAACATTCAGCAAGTGAAGGATCCGCTACCCACGATCAAAATAGATCATATATACCTAGACAGTCACGACGTTTGCTTTTGGTAAGCAGTGTGACCATATTTTGGGTGGCTGGTGATCCAAAATGGAGGTTACTCAGGCTCTACCGTACAAAGATACTGTGTACATGAACACTGGAGCTTAAGGTGGCAGAATTGCCAAGGATGCAGATGGTTCTGAACCAATGCTGTGTTCACTGACGTTCTGATGTTCATCTTCGATCGTCACATGAGGATCCCTTTTACTACAGAAAACACATTTCTTTTCGCAACACCTGGGAACCTGAACAACACTCTGAGCATGGTACATGTCGTGGCCTCATTGCTCAAAGAGAGTCGAGACCCGTAGAGTGGGTGAAACCGCCAACGTGGCAAAACAGGAGAGGTTGGGTGTCTGGCTGATGTGGACAGTCCACACCGGTCCAACGGTCCATTCTGTGCCGTCTTTGAGCACCCTGAAAGACATATTTGTGTTTAATAGCCCATATTCAACACATATGAGGTGTTTAATAGCACATTGAGGTGTTTAACTCACTATGTGTGTTGAATTGACTTTCAGTGACTTCAGCCACCGGCCGTTGGTGCCGTTGCTGTGACGTTCGCTTCCACCACCAGCGCGTCACATGACTCGTCGTGGCGCGTCGATTGGGAGGAACCGTTGCGCCAGCGCAATGAGCAATGAACAATTGGTGCGGAGCATCCAACTTAGTAGATTTCTGCTAAGAGTTCTTTTGACATGAGTGTGCTGTTTTGGCCCTTTGTTCGGAGGCAAGTTGAAATACGTGAGGCAATGGAATGCAACGGAGACCTTCAGGGGGAGGATTCGCGTCGCAGAATACGCAAATTGCGGTAGACGCAAAGCGGGGTAAGCAAACGATCAACTGTCCCAGAGATGCTTGGGACAATCTCTTGCTCCGGGCAGCGCTCGTGGACCTGGTGAGCGCTCAATAGGAGACCAACACACGGTCCGGCCCACGAACCCCAAGGTCCACGGTTTGACCGTGCCGTACCTATGGCTTTTTGGCATACCGGGTTGCCATTTGGAGCTTTTCTTTTTATTCTCCTGGAGGTTGGAATCTTAAGTTGGTAGTTTGGGAACCAAGTTCGCCAAGAACTGTGGACTCTTTGCCCTTTCTATTCCTGGTTGTACTGCTGCTTTGAGTCCCGCCCTAATCCACCAAGGATTACATCTCAACAGCAGATGATGAGCTTGACAAGGTGGCACATGGTGCAGAGATGGAACTTCCAAAGGACAAAGCTGGGAGGTTGTTCAACAACATAGAACTTTGGAACGTGTGCGTTTGTGCGTGCGTGTGTGTGTGTGTGTGGTGTTTTTGTGTGTGATTGGACAATATTAGATGATACTACTAATATACTGTAAATGCATCAAACAAGGAACTTCAACGACAGACAGTCTTGTCATTGATTCACGTTTCCTGTCATTGGTACCCTGCGTCTCCGTTTTGGGCGACGAGAGGCCTATAACAAGATTAGGAGTTTCAGTTTCGAAGACCTAGATGATCCATCCTCATGGCTTTACCTTCAATTTGTTGTCTTGTCCACAATGGGAGGCCTCTGTGTGTGTGTGTGTCACATTTTGATGGCACAATGCTGAGACAAGGATGCTAGTTGAGAATCATTGGTTGGAAGAACGGGTGTTCCAAAATGACTTGATACTGTGTGCTGTGTGCTGCAGCTATGTTGATCTCTCAGCAGGTGCAGTTGGTTTCTCAGGCATGTCATGGCCTGCCCGACACGACCTGTTTAGTCCTGGGCTCCCGAATTGGAGCATGTCACCGACGCTGCACCCCACGGGCCCCACGGCTCCTGCACGTTCTTCGGCCCAGCTGTAACATGTTTCCAGGCCTTGGAGAAAGAGATCTTTGAGTTGGGTCCGGGTGTGCTTAAGGCAGGGAAGGCGGAGAAGGCGGAACGCAAGCAGAAATTCAGAACCACTCACCGTGGCCATAGGCTTTGAACAGGATGTGGTGGTGCTGTGGATATGTGAGGGTTTGGGTGATTATCAAGTATGATGTGTTCCAAGTTATTGGAAAACATATTCGTTCTATTTATGGGTGTTGATCAAGAGTTTGCCTTTTTGAGCCTAGAGGACTGCAGGTGTTGGTCGGATGTTGCTTCATCAACACGTTCATTATCCGGTTGACTGTGGAATCTCCAGCCGTTTGACAACCTAAAAGTGGCTTTTCATTTTAGGATCTTTCCAACGGCGAAAACGTGCTACGCAGCAATCGACGTAGCTTTTGCGTGTTCCAGGGTGCACAGGTGGTGCAGCGGAATTTTGTTCTTCAGAACTAGGTGATCTGTTTTTTCAACCTCTACTTGGGACGATTGAACCCTCTGACAAATATTGTTCACACTAACCAGGGAAGTTGTTGGTTAGTTTCACTGGCTTGAGCTGGCGCACGAACGCCACAGAAGACGCCGCTCTCTCTCTCTCTCTCTGTGCAGGGGCTTTCTTTAGAGAGGACTGGCCCCAAGAGATACAAGTTCAGGGAACAGAAGCTGGCCTGAAATGATGTACTGAGCAAGTTTTGTTCATGCTCATATTATATTATGTTTCATCTCCCAAATGTTGGTTGATTACTTAGCCAGGCTCTTTGAACCTTCATGATGATGATCAAGACATGGAAGAATCAGCCTTTACCCTCCCATGCAGCCCTTGGGCAGTGTAGAGCAAGAACCACACAAGATGAGAGCTCAAGGCCGAATTGAGATGTTTTTACGTCTTGGCTATAGCACAAAACCACACAAAACCCGTCACTGGGAAAGAGACATCAAGACATGAAAGAGTTAGGCGTCCGAAAAAAGGGGAAGACCACTTCAGAGCGATCTCCAAACGAACCAGTGGTTGGTGATAAAAGCCTTTTGGAGCAGTGGGTATGTATGTGTTAAAATAGGGAGACCTCCCCTAGAAGAAGGGAAATAGACCAAAACTCATTGGTTGCAGGCCTCCCTATTTTGGAAAATACACACCGGTGTGTTGCTCCGAACACTTCTTCTGTACACCTCAAGAAGATCCGGTGGACGACCCTTGGCCCTGTTGGTCCTCTTGGTGTTGTTAGTCTAAAACTGACGGGCAACGACTACAGCAACAAAGCCAGTGCAACCTGAATTAGTAATTAGATGCTGCGGCTACAGACATTCGTCTATGGCATGCGCAAAAAGAACAGAAGGTCTAGAGCTGACGCACAACTCAACTCACACATGTGGGTGTGGAAAATATCTTCCTTCGCATCCGAAGATCCACAGGCGATGTCGATATCTTTTCGATGTTTTTCTCGACGCACTCGGTCCGAGCCACGGCCCCAGGAAAGTCTATATGCAGCTCACGGACTCCAAGGTCACCGTGCGCGTGGGGGTGAATTACATCCCACTGGCCCAGTGGACGAAGGAGCTGCTCGGATCGCACGAAGGAGCGTACGCCGAGACGGACTTCGGGTGGGAAGCTGGGGGTCGAGGTCTCCGGTCTCCTCTATATAACCGGTTTGGCAGGTCGCTAACAACGCCCTTTAAAGCCCATAACAACCATCAAATCATCCCTCGCCCTAGAGTCGAGGTACAGTCGATGTTCGACTGTAGGCTGACCTGTGCTTGGCTGACGGAACCGAGGCTTTTCACCAACGCGGAGGATCCCTTCAGTACCTTAGACGCCCAGTCGCCTTTTGCCAACGTGCGCTGAGACCATGCGCGAGTGGAAAAGGGCCAATGCGGACTTGCGAGTGCAGCGTGCAGCAGGCTTTGTGGCTGGTTTGGGAGATCTTGGTGACCGCTTGAAGTCAGAATCCCAACTTTCGAAGCCCCAATCTTAAATCTTGAAACTTTAAAACATACAATTACTTTACTTCGAGTGATCCCCACCATGACATTCATACATTTTATTGTATAAATGTCATGGTGAGGATATTATGGTTCAGAACCATGCTCGCTGCACTTTTTTGCGCCACTATCTGCCATTCAATCTGCCATTCTATCTGGCAATCTATCTGACATACTATCTGGCATACTGTCTGGCATACTATCTGGCATTTTGTCTGGCATACTATCTGTCATTCTATCTGGCATTCTATCTGGCATTTTATCTGGCATTCTATCTGGCATTCTATCTGGCATATTTTCTGGCATTCTATCTGGCAATGTATCTAGCAATCTATCTGACACACTATTTGCCATACTATCTGGCATATCTTCTTGCAGCATTCTATCTGGCAATCTACCTGGCATTCTATCTGGCATTTTATCTGGCAAACTATCTGGTTGAGGTCCAGCGGTGCACACTGCGATCGGATCCTTGCGGTTGAGGTCCAGCGGTGCACACTGCGATCAAATCCTTGCGGTTGAGGTCCAGGGGTGCACACTGCGATCGGATCCTTGCGGTTGAGGTCCAGGGACGCACACTGCGATCGGATCCTTGCGGTTGAGGTCCAGCGGTGCACACTGCGAGGGGATCCTTGCGGTTGAGGTCCAGGGGTGCACACTGCGCTCGGATCCTTGCGGTTGAGGTCCAGGGGGTGCACACTGCGATCGGATCCTTGCGGTTGAGGTCCAGGGGTGCACACTGCGATC